ACACCAGAGAGGACTTCCTGTCAGCTCGCGGGTCTCAGCTTCTGCCAGGCCTCTTTAACAAACAGGACCCTTCGCAGTGCGTTTGCTTGTTTTGAACCTGTGAATTTGCACACTCCTAAGCAGACATTTTCTCCCCTCCAGATCTGAACGGCATAGACTTAACCCCTGTGCAAGATACTCCCGTGGCTTCAAGAAAAGAAGATACATATGTTCATTTTAACGTGGACATCGAGCTCCAGAAGCACGTTGAAAAATTAACCAAAGGTTTGTAACTGTAAATACGCGATTTCTCGTGGCCGGAGCCCTCATCTTACTCACGTCTGTGAGCCTGGTGGACCTGGCTCAGGTGGCAGGAGGGAACGGCATGTGGCGCCTGTTGATTGGAATGAAATATGAAATACAGACATTTTTAAGTGTGGGAGTTAAGAATCACATTATCTAGCTGTATAATAAATAACTTACACCGTAAAGTATTCTTGCATGGTAAAGTCTTACCGTGTCTAACAACCGTTCCTCATATCACACTGAGGAGCCCCCCAAGGGGGGCCCCAGATGCTTACATCTCTAACAGTCCACAGATGCAGTCTGGGTGGTCGTCCTCGCTGAGTGTTCTGGGTAGAAGGGACCATCGCGTGCAGTTGGGAAAGGACACAAACCCGTTTTTCTAACGTTTCCAAGCTAAACGCTTTTTCGGGTTAAACACGTCTCTGCCCTTTGCTCGGTGGGAACGTCAGTGTTCCCTGACAAAAAGGCTTCCGCGTCCCTTTATCACCCGAGATCCAGCTGCAGCTTTTGAGGTTTGCAGGCGCCGCCGCAAGCTCGCACAGGTTGTGTGTGCGCATTTGAACGGCCGCCGCGTCCTGTGAAATACGAGCCGTTTTCCTTCTCGGGTCCGGTGCTGCCGCTGTCCTGTTCTGCGAGAAGCCTCGTCTTCGCGGAGAGGTGGCAGCACCTGGACACCCCTCCCCGCCAGGCTGCGCCCCGGACCTGAGTCAGGAGCCCCCCGGTGGTGGCGATGCCACTGCAGTGGGAGTCGCTGTGTTCGCATGTACAGACAGGACGTGCGTACACGGTGGTGAAGGCGTGTCAGTACGAAGCGTGCCTTCCGCGTGCAAACATTAGCGAAACACTGTTTTCCCCCACTGAGCCCCATCGCTCTGAGAAACGTTTCTGGCGTGGGGTGGGCAGTGTGTCACGGGCTATTTTGCTGTTTCTGTTTGATCGCCCCATGTTCTTAAGGACTTGATTTGCAAGGTGTTAAAAAAGTAGAACTATATTCAGAATTTGTCTCCATCTTCTGCAGCTTTGAATTTATCACGTACGGTTCCTGCAGTTCAAACTGATATTAGTGCTAATAAGTATACTTTCCTCATGTTTACAAGGATTTCAGCTAATCTTCCTAGGCTGTTCTGAGTTCACATTTTGTTCTTGAATCAGTTAGTTAGCTCAGGAAGTTTCGCTGGACTTCTAGAACTGGATGATATGGAGAACCGCCACTCCGTTCAGATGCATGAGAGTCTGGGGTGACGGCCACAGCCATATCATCGTTTGACAAGGATTACTTCGTACAGTCCTGCCAGTTGTTGCTCATTCACGTGCATCCGGTGAGCAGAGAGGAGTCGTTGGCTAGGACGGCGCTGTCTGGCTAAAGCGGTTTGTTTTGATCCTGTAGGTGCAGCTGTCTTCTTCGAATTCAAGCACTACAAGCCGAAGAAAAGGTTCACCAGTACCAAGTGCTTCGCTTTCATGGAGATGGACGAACTCAGACCCGGGCCGATCGTCATAGAACTGTAAGTGACGCGATCGCCTTAGTACTGGTGGAATGGGCACGAGGGTTTCTTTTCAGCGTGTGACCTTGGAGCACGTCGGGAGTCACAGTATTTTAAACAGTGGTTTTTCTATTGTGGTTATAGATACAAGAAACCCACTGACTTTAAAAGAAAGAAATTGCAATTATTGACCAAGAAACCACTTTATCTTCATCTACATCAAACTTTGCACAAGGAATGACCGTGACATGAGTAACCTGGAGCTTCTGTGAACTTCCCCACTCCCCGGAAACCGTCACAGCTCTGTGTAGCATCTTCACCCTTCAACAGGCAGGAGCAAGCCAGTGGGCCCGGGCGCGTCCGCTGCACGGCGCGGCACCGTCGCCGGCGCGTGAGACTCCTTGGGGACCAGGCTTGTTGGAGGTTTCGAAACGTTTTCACTTTTCTATTGATTGTGCAATGAATAGTCTCTCTTCTGATTTACCACCACTCCCGCCCCGCTTCCCGGAACAGCGCTGTTGTGGGTAGGACGTGCTCACCTTCAAACTAAATGCAGCAGTAAGAATGTGCTAGAGTGTACACACCTGTTCACTTCTGCTCCAGTATGCTCTGTCGGGTGTGGGGTTAAGGTCAGGCTTCGGGCCGAAGTGGGCAGGATAGGATGGAACTGCTTCGAGAGGGTTGGAACCGGTTACGCTGTCCGCGAAGGTCATTCTGGGAACTGACAGGCCGCTGCTCAGAGCGGCCTGAATTCGCCCCGATCTCCGCGTCCTGCTCCGTGTGCCTTGCCCGGGTCAGCATCCCGCGGGCATGCTCCCGGCTGTCGCTGCCTTGTCCGGATGAGCAGGTCGTTTTTCTGAACGTGAGCATATTTTTACTCATCTCGATTCACTTCTTCTCCATCACATTGTTATTCTTTCTGATGGTGATTCTGGGGCTAACGTGGAACAAACTCAGAATGAGTCAGATTTTTAGATGGCTTTACAGTGTCATGTAATCAAAACAATTTGAGTCACGCTGATGCGATACAGGAGTAACTGCTGTTTTTCTGACAACTGATTGTGAACCCTGGAAACCTGCGTACGTACATCTCCTACAGTGCTGAGCATGCAAAATTTGGAGCTGTTCCGTTTTTTGTTTTTTGTTTTTTACATAGGTAGATAGGATTGCCATTTATTTTCTATTTAGATGTTATCAACATTCATCCATATGGAAATATGCAGGTCATTACCTTATTATAATTTGACTATTTTACATTACTTTTGACTTAATGGGGCATAAATAAAACTTTCATGGTACACACGAGGTGGCTCTTCCATACAGAACATTGAGATCCGGGTTTCTGGGGGTTAGATGTGGAGCCCACACGTTGAATAGTCACTTTTTTAAATGACCAGTGCCAGCACAGTGGGAACGCAGTGCCGGTACTTGGCCTATTTTTAAACTAGTATAATAACGCTAGTCATACCATTCAGTGTGTTTTTTAAAATAAGTAACCACGGTTAAGTTGGTCTGGCCCTGGCACTTCAAGATACCTAGTCTTTGCTTTCAGTTGTGTTGGGTCAATTCTTTTTACTAAGATGGATGTTAAAAACTACACGAACCTGAAATTCTCAACCCAAATTCGTAGTCTTTCATCTTGATTAGATTAACTCTAAAGAATGATTGGATCCACAGTAGGTTGGGGGTGCGGCATTTGCCTTAAATGACTTCATTGTTCACTCAGCTCTACGCCCTGAGCTGTCAGCCCCAGGCTGTAAGCTCCCCCAGGGGCAAGAACCACACTTGGTCCACACACGTCAGGGGGATTTTCTAAGGCAGCAGCACTCTGTACCCTGTGGAGTGCTCGGTGCCTTCCATTTGATGCTGCTGACAAGACCTAAAATATTATCCCTCAAAAAACCCATTAAAATAGAGCAAAACTGATACTGTTCTCTTTCTCATAGACCATAAGACACATATATCAAAATGGTAATTTATATGAAGCAGCATCTGCTATTGTTCACATAAGTATGGTTTATTTGAACCACACATGCCTTTCATCACTCTTAAAGAAGCTTAAATTCAGACCTGAATGAAATGACAAGTGATTGTCTTGAAGAAACAGAATACTCCACATCCCACCAAGTATTTAAATTCACTGTCCAATAAAAAAAATCAGCCATTGAATAATCACGCCTCTAGTAGACAGGCTTTCAGGCTGAAACGCTGCTGCTTCGTAAGTGAGATGATTTTAACTATGCCTGAAACAGTGAGCTGGAGATGACTTCTGTAATAGGTGTCTCTTTTGAGATGGCCGAGTCCAGTGCAACTGAGGGATGGTACAGCCACCCCCTCTACCTTCTGGATATTGGCAGCTTGCCTGGGCAGCGGTGCCATCACAGGGCTGAGGCGGTGACCGTGGCAGTGTCAGAGAATGACAGATCTGCTGCAGCTGATTGATTTTTCAGTAATATGAAATAGAGAATGCCCCCGCCCCCCGCAAAGCTTTAGAGGTTAAAAAGACTCCGGCTTTGACTTGAAAATAGATTTAATTTCCCTTTCCTAGCTGGTATAATCTATATTTAAATGCTATTTAAAATTAGAAATTATATTAACTTCATTATTTTGTCCTGAAGGGACTGAAACATTCGAAAGTTATTTGTGACTTAATCTTACTTTACATGGTTAAAAATAACCTGTGCTATTAAGTCTGCAGTTTTCCTCTTGAATTTCTTCTAGTCTTGGTGTTAAGCTGGAAGACCTATAGACGGAATTCTTTTCTTGACTAACGTCTTCTTTCGAAGGTCCTTATCTTTCTAAAATGGTGTTTCTTTTTAGTAATTTAGTATAAAGGAAAACTTTTGTTTCACGGTGAAGCTTTTGCTTCTTTTTACAGGGTGTTCTTAGCGGAGTAACAGCAATAGGTCACAGTCTGGTAAGACTGTTCCAGCACGAAGCTTCAAAGAACGAGAGAGTACAGTCAAGCAGTAAGCAAGAATATCAGCTTTTTATAATTTTGATTTAACATAAATCTTAAATTTCTTAAAATGTGCTATTAAGTTACTATAAGTTAAAGTGTGTCTGAACAGTTAGTCCCTAAGAAACATTTTTTAAGACATGTTATCTTAATGGCTATAGTAAGACTTTTAGGTATGGTGCAATCCCAGCTTCTTAGATTCACCGGTTTTTAAACGTAAGTTCAAATATTAACTGTGGAGTAGAAGCAGTCAACAAAAAGAATCGAGTGTAGCCCAGGTTGCTGACCCAGGCATGCGACAAGCCTTACGATCCCTAAAGCATCCCGTCTCATAGTATTCCACTCTTCTGATCTGTTTTGCCGTATTTGAAAATCGGTGGCAAGGCACAGGAGAAATAATAGACTACATTTTTTTAATAAAAGAAGTTTCCTTTTATAGTCATGACACGTCGTTTTCATTTTTCTGTTCTGCACCCTTAAAGCCGAAATGGTGAGAGCACAGAGCGTCAGGTCAAACGAGTCTTTTGTATCGTGAACTCACCCAGGAAACGGACGAGGCGTTGCAAGTGCCCGGGAGCACGTGCGTCCTGTGCCGCCGGGCCCACCGGCCTGTCCTGGGGTCCCGGGGACTCTGAGCAGGGAGCGGCAGGGAGCATGCTGCCCAGGTGGCCGCTTCCGCTCTAGGAGCCCGAGTTTACGTGATTCCAAACGGCACAGGCCTCATGAGAAAACCGTCCAATGAATCAACAGACACTTGGGAAGTAGTAACCAAAGTTTTATGAACTAGTACTACAAAGAACATCAGCAAGGGGGGGACAGTTTAGTGATCTTTTAGTAAACATTTTTAGCGTAACAGTCTTTGCGACCCATATTTTTTAAAAATCGAGCTTATAAACACCATTGCTCTCCATTCAACTGGTATACACTAAAAATAGGATAATAAATGGAAATACACGTTCTTAAGCATTTCCACAGGAAATGTTCGTATTTTTCATGACATTCTAAATCACTGAACAGTTACATATGCTGCATTAACTAAAATGCGGGACTCTTTATTGCACATTTCAAAGCTGGAAGGAGGCTCTAGCTTACCAGGTGATTTTTATTGAAGGGGGAAATGATATTTTTTAATTGCTTGGCTCAAAAATGCACACTGCCAGGGCAGCTTAGTTCGAAAAACAAACCCTTTGAAATCAACTTCGGGATTTTGAAGCCTGTAGTGGATAGTGCACGGTCCACTTTCTCCCCAACCCGGCGTCAGTGGTCATGGTCACGGGCTCTGTTTCAAAGCCGGCGAAGAGTCCTGGCTGCGGCTCTGGGGGGCAGGCGGGGGCGCGTCTCTTGTAGCAGGGGGCGGGGGATACTCCTGCGGGCTGTGAGCTGGGGCCGGTAATCGGGTACCAGGGAAAAAGTACTCCCTTGGGCCATGAGAGCCTAGAGGTCTAAAATGCGTGTGTCCTGGCAGGAATTCCCGAGGGTCGAGCGGCAGGTCCCGTGTCCCGGGTGGGACACCTGGTGCGTATTCCCTCAGGCCCAGCGGCGGACGGAAACCTGGACCTGGGAAAACATCACGTCACGCACACAGATGAGAACGTACCTAAAATCAGGTGGCACCTGCATGTTCATCTTAAACTTCTCACAACCCCAGGAGTCGGGTGCTGGCACCCCACTTCACAGATGAGGCAAACGGGCTCAGCAAGTGCAAGCCACGTGGCCGAACAGCCGGCCACGAAGTGACACGGGCAGGACTGAAACGCGGCTCTGCCTAGCTTGGGTTTTTCCTGCCACACGGTTCTGCCATCTCCGTCTCACAGGAGCTTGCTTTGTACTTGCAAGTCCGTACATCACACCAACGTGGCCGTTGGTGAGATTCGGGTTCACCGTAGCAGAGACGTTCTGCTGAGGGACCTCGTCTGCTGCTGTGTCAGTCACACACCCACGCAGTGGCCCGGCGCGGCCCCAAGGTGCTGGCCCTCCCGGAGGCCTTCACGCTCCGCCTGACGAGGGTCGGCCGGGGCCTCTGGTTGCTATGGAAGCGGGCCTGCTGCCTTCCCGCTCATCCCAGCAGCCAGTCAGGGTTCAGTCCGCCCCTGGCATGTGGCCTGCATGACCCCGGAAGCTCCTGGACTTTGGGGAGCTGGTTCTATCTGCTACAGGGCCTGGCGTGTGGCCACGGCTGTTCAGTGAGCACCTGCAGAAGCAACGTGCCTGGCTTGCCATCCACAGCCCCATCCCGTCTGCAGGAGACCCTACTGCCCGTCTTGGCACAGAGACAGCAGGTGGCACCCACTGTGTCCCTGCATAGCATCTGCTGAAATTTTAGCAAGGGACAGACAGAAAAGATCACGCTCCACGCGTCAGTCCCCACTGTTCACGTGTCGTACCAAATGGCGGAGGAAGTGGCCGAGGCCCGAAAGGCCCGCAGAGCTGAGGCGGCGGTCCGTACCGGATGGGCGGCAGGAGAGGGCCTCCCACGGGGGAGCTCAGGAGGGGCACCCCTGGGAAAGGAGGCGGCCCCTTTGCTGCCACGTTCACCTGCAGGGCAGAAACAGGAACGTTCTGAACTGCTCCGCTGCAACGGGCCAGAGCACCGACACCTGCACGAGCTGAGACCCAGGGATGCAGCGGTCAGGCGCCCGCCCGCCCGCCCACCTGTCCCCGCGGACCGCTCGGGCAGGTCAAAAGGGTGGCAAGGGCCTGAAGCGTTTCCCTGTCGCCGGACTCCTGCTGTACAAGCAAGCGGGAGGGAAAGCACAAGGACTCTTGTCAGAGGACATTAACACGGGTGACCCCCGGACACAACCACCGTGCACCACGCCGCAATCCACTCCCAGGCCACCAGTCCCCGCCCAGCGCCCTGCCAGCACTGCGGCTGCCCCCACCTCCTCACGAGGAAGGGAGAGAACGGGGTGGGGGGAGGGGAGTCCGCTGTCTACACGTGAGCGGCTGCTGTTCAGAGGACCTCCAGCTTCCACATTCATCTCTAACTCCCACATCGCTAGATGTCTTAGGTGCGACCGTCGTGTTTGAAACGTGAAAGAACACACATGGAGAGCATCAGCTAGTCTGCCGGAGGCCTCGCAGACCGCAGGACAGGTCTGACTCTGCACTCGCTGTCCCAGCTCGGCCTCCCTCCAACCGAGGAGTCCCTCTCTGAAGTCTTCTGCTTCTGCAAGGTCTTGGGTCTTACCCTAGCTGCTCTATGAGAAAAAGCTCTCTCAGAAGAGGTGTATTCCTGAAATCCTGCTCTGACACTGAGAAGTGTTTTCCAACAGAAACAACGGTCTGTATACAAGTCAGGCAGACGCAGCACCAACGTTCACCTCCGTTCACCGGTGACACTGTGCTTCGTGCTGGGAGACACTAACCCTTTCCTATGGGGAACCGGACCGGGAGTTCTGAACAATGAGACTACAGGTACTGTCGATTTCAACCCAGAGCAGCACTGTGAGGTGCGATCGGAGGACTTCTGGCTGTAACAGCTACACGGTGACGAGAGAACACCCTCACGCGGACAGAATTCAAGCTGCGGCTGGGAGCTGGCACAGAACAATTCCGGATTTCCACTATCTGTTATGTCACTTCCAGCAAACGCTCTTCTGTTTCCAAGCTGTGATCTGACTACTGAGGTGGGCTGTGCCGGGTAGACACTGAGGTAAACAGCACTTCCAAACACGTAATGACGACGAATTACGGAACGTACGGTAAGTGTGCTTTATCTTAGAGCGCTCGACAGTGAAGCACACAACGTAAAGACAGAATGATGACATTTTGATGCTTTAAAGCAGAAAGAAGAGAAAGAGGAGACCACCACCAACCGACTGGTCCGATTTCAGTGACCTGGCAACGCTTCCAGGCCCAAGGCGACAGCGAGCTCAGTATCACCGTCAGCGTAAAGCGAGCAGATCACACACGCCAGCTCAAAGCCCGTCAGCCCTCGACTGCCGGGTACTTACTGCGACTGGGTGCTCAGCCAGAGATGGGATGCTGGGGACTGACGGGCCTTCAGGCTCGTGGAGAGCAGTTTGCTTTTTTAAAAAATAAATGAGATAGAACAGATATAACAGAACACACAGACGGGAGGTGGCTGAAGCACGGAGGGAGCTCAGAAAGAGGTCAATGTCTCCGGAAGTACTCACCTTGCCCTCGTCCATCACCTTGGATGGGGAGGAGCTTCTTGAGCTGCTGTTCGTCATGGGCGTGGCACCAGACGCTGGCTCTGCAGACGGCCAGAAACGGAGTTAGACTCGTCCCGACTTGTGTACTCTTAAGGCAGAATAAGAAGTCCGCGACCCGCTTCCGCCACGATTCCAGACCCTCTGAAGACACCCGGGCCCTTACCGGAGGCAGAGGGCTTCCCAGAGGCCTCAGACGACCAGCGGGGACGAGGTAGAGATCCGTCCGCTGAACCTTGAGAAAGAAAGAACGGGGCCCTTGCATGGCTTTTCTAGAAGACATGAACCAACTGTGGGCAGGTCAGGGGCCACCTCTACCTACAGAGCTGTCCCCCAGTGCCTATGAGGGGAAATCGCGTGCATGACAGAATGAAGAACTGAAGTCAGAAGTGTCTTGGATGGAGAGAGCAGCAGTGGAACCTGCACGTCAGCAGTGCTGGCCAAGCGCTCCGGGCTGCTTGCTTCCAGTTTCCACGTAATGATGTCCACGTCTGACCAAGTATTATAAACGCACTTACGAACAGACACAGACTTACAGCGTTTCATACCGAGTACTGAGGACGGCTGTATGCTGCGTAAATGATAAAGTCTTAAGGCTACTTTCATAACAGTGAAGTGAGGAATGCCACGGGAATTTGATTTAAAGATAAAAGTTTATGTATCACAATAAAAAATCAAAAAAGCAAAAATTACTTTTATGTATCTACATAAGTTTTTATGTATTTATACATAAGTAATATTAATGGACATGTCTGCTCTAAAGCAGATCTTGCAGTAAACTATTTCAAATAGTCACCAAGAAAAATAAGAAAATTTCTTCTTTACATTGGACAGACCCAAATTCTAGAATGTCGTTCGCATTAGAATTCTCAAATGAAGAGGAGAAAATCTCTCGAAAGCGTTTACTGCAAAGTAACGAGCGCACGCTCACCAAGGTCACGTCTGGGCACATCTCCTCGGCCAAGCGTGGCAGACGGCGGCCTCACGGGCGGGTCTGGAGGCGGGGAGCACTCGCCCCCACTCACAGGCGACGGGCCGAAAGAGCCGTTCTGGCTCAGGGGACCTGCAGGCGACAGACAGGCAGCTGTTACTACTTTAAGGCAACTCTTCACAGTAAGTTCCTGGGATCATTTCTAGGGGATCGTGACTCATTACACACAGAAACAGAAAATAATTTATACAGTCTGCACCCAAAAAGCAGACTGCTGCCCTTTGTAAGTACTCCCCACCTCTCCGCGGGGGGTTCTGGGCGCTGGGTCTCCCTGGCATTGGTTTCACAATCACAGGTTCTTCTTGTAGCATTGCCATCTTCTGGGTCAGTTCCAATAATCTGGAATAGAGAGGAAGACGGGCCTTAAATGTGGGACAGAAAATGAAGTCTTTGTTACTACTGACAGCGCAGCCTAAAACCCCGAGCCGCGGTGACGGGCGCGCGTCGGAATCACGTACTTGTGCCTCAAGTTGGCAGCTTCTCTTTTCTCTTCAGCGATAGCTCTTTCTGCGGCACGAGCTTTGAGCTATTGGAGGAAAAAATATCCAAATTCAGTTGTTGGAGACTATGCGCAAAATCAAAGAAAGGAAGAAATCTTACCCAGTTATCGTGAGCTTTCTTCTCGTGAGTAGCAATCTGAAAAACACAACACAGCGATTTATGTTTAGGGAGTCACTATAGTAGCCGCTGTCATAGTCTACATTAGATTCCAAAGAATTCCGCGGCCGTCGGGCAGATGATTACCTGGCTTTTAAATGCGCGCTCTGTCTTCTGTAATTCATCCTCCATTTCTTCAATTCTCCGCCTAAGAATTACACTTGCTTTTATCAATTAAAGTTCAACTGAATAACATTTTAAACAATCTCACAGTATCTCCTTTACTCTAATTGTACCCTCACAGACTTCATCCGTACATATAAAACATTTTGCATGGTTCCAATAAGAATGCAATATGATCAGAACTGATGCCACATAACTTCCTTCCTTATTAAATGGCTGCAGATTCTCAGTTGATACATCATAATTTCCTGAACTGTTCTTCTGTGCGTTCTCAAATAATTCTGTATCTTCCTCCATAAAACTTTTTCTTCCTTTCATTACATCCACGAAAAATTTCCCAGAGCTATGACTCTTAGGCCCATCAATGGCAGTTATTTTAATGGTACCCCGTAGAGTGAGCTGCCTTCCGAGAAGAATTTCTCCCCCATGCAAAACCACCCAGAACTGTCGGCCTGAACCGAGTTCCTTTCCGGTCTTGCCAGAGTTGGGTGTCAGGAAATTTCTGTTAAATGTTTTTACCTCTGTTCACTTAAAATTTATTGTTTTCTTATGTGAATTATAGGTACTCATGTTCTGGGATGACTTATTCGTGTTTCTGTGCTATTTTTTCTACAAACTGTAAAAACGGTTTTAAAAACACAAGCCAACGGCCGTCCCATCAGCCAGCGACGCCCGCTACAGACGCTGAACTCACTTATAAGTTTTCACTTCCTCTGCCGCCAAAACCGCCTTTTCATCCGCAGCCGACAGCCGCTGTTCTCTTTCCTGCCGCTCGTATTCCTCTTGACTCAACTTCCTAAGATAAAAATCCGTCGTCAAGTGAAAGTGTCTGTTTCTCCCCGCAGGCTGCGTGCAGGCCCCATGCGAACGTTCACCTTCCGTGCTAACGTGCGGACGGACGAAGTCACAGGAAGGAACTCAAACCTGCCACTTAGGGATAACTATCGATCTCTGGCCTACTGGCAAATCACCTGCATTTTCTAAATTCTCCTCATAGTTCCGTACTAATCAATAAAATAGATGTAAAGAAAATAAAAAAGTGGTGTGCCCCATGGGCAGCTTTCTTGAGCTTGAGACGACGAAAGCTCATCTTACTCCAGTGTGAAAAGCCAGCGCTCATCGAGCTAACACGCTTAAGCTTCTTAGGGTAAAGCAGGGGATAATTCTCTCAATTCCACCCTGAGAAGAGCTGTAATTACTGCTCTCTATTATGGAAGGACTATTTCTCCACCCAAGACTGGTTCCGCGCGAGAGACAGCCAGCCAAGGAGCCTTTTAAGACCTGTCTTTCCTGCAGGGAAGCACGGAAACTTCCACTCCTCAGACAGGGGCTCCCGGTGGCTGCGGTCAGGGCGAGAGCGCTCAGCGTCTGGGATGCCCGCGGCACGGAAACAAGACTCGGACGGCCCCATGGTCGGGGTATTATCTACTGGGAACGGACTTTAACTCAATGACCTTCCCGCTCAAGATGTCAGTCTGCTGTAACGAACTGCAGAGGTGGCGACGCTTAATGGTTTAAATGCTGTTTTTTTGTTACCCTTGGATTTCTCTGCCCGTCGTTCAGATTCAAAAGATACTGAGCTTGAAACTTAATTCTCCAAGAGCTAGACTAGAGTAAAAAGGGTTAATAACACCCAAGAGAAAAGGTTTACGTATTCTTTCCTAACCGCCACTGAACACGGCCGCCAGGAGTTTCCGCGTGGCTCTAAGGCACTGGTTGCCCCGTCAGATGCCGAGATTACGGGCCGGGCACGTGCTCTCCCTGCACCCACAGTTCACGCCGCACGCGAGAGCAGAGCGATCCGACCCCGGCTTACGAGCAGGTGTGAGGACACCAAAGACCAGAGAGTTCTGCTTCCGGTAACGCAGGGGTCAGTGTGAGGACACGGAGGACAGCGGGAGCGCTGGCCTCTGAGCGACAAGGTGATGTGTGACGCCCGGATGCAGGAGGAGGAGGAATCTCAGGGTCCCGGTGAGCCTGCGGCTGCGGCCGCCTCCCCCCAGGCTCGCCCGGGCACTGAAGACGATGCGGACACAGAGCAGAGCTTCCGATAGAGCCCGAGTTCAAAGAAAAATGAGGGGAGTTCAAGGCTGTCGACGAGGGGGACCCCTAGGCATTCAGGCTGAGAGCAGAGAGAGCTGTGCGCTTGGAGCACCGAACCGGCCACAGTGTCCCCGGAGGGGCTGAGACCTTTCTGAATGATCCTGATTGCTGACTGGGTGAAAGGAGAGGCCACGTGCCAGAAATGAATGGGACTCTTTCCTGTAATTTCCTCCACAGGGAGCATATACAGTATCCGTTGCTCAGTCAAAACTGACAGGGCGCTCTGAAAAACCTGTGACCAAACTCCAAAAGACAAAACAAATGGACCTGTTGGGTATCCGCATAGCAGCATTGTCGCATAGACTTTAAAATAACTGTACCTTATGTATTTAAGGAAGCAAATGTCAAAATTACAACTCTTAGCAGAGAAAAAGAAACTACAGAACTGCAACAGTAACTGAAACTAAGAATTCGATGCATGATTTCAGCAGATCTGATGACTGAAGTGAGCGTTTAGCACACTGGAAGACGGCCGAGCAAAATCATCCAGAAGACGGCAAATACAGATAAGAATGTAGGACACACAGGGGAAATCCTACAGCCAGCAGAAAATCCTTAAGAAATGGAGTCAAAATCCAATTGTTTTCATACAAAGACAAACTGATCAAATGTGTCACTAAAGGACGTTCTTCGAGTGGAACGGAAGGATCCCAAGCAGGAGCTGCCTAACTCCAAAGCTGAGACGCATATTTCAGAAGATTAATCCCTCAGTATACAGACCAAAAAGGTTATTTTTCTATGTTAAAACTCTCCACACCCTTGCCACAATTACATCACCTGATGTCTACTGTGTCTGACTATGGTAAGTCCTCAACTTATGATACCTTCAATAACTAAACATTCCTTTTGAAGTATTTACTAAAAATCATTCGTATACATCGCTGGGGATTTTTAAAGGCTACAGTAAAAACTAGAACAAATACAAGACAAATCGGAATTACATAAGTGACCACGAAGAAAGAAAGTAAGTAAGTGGTAGAGCCACAAAAGGGTATGGATCTGCAAAACCAAACCAAACCCAACCCAACCAAACCCCACTTCTACGGCAGTACCTGTTAGCGCCAAGAAACCACTGCCCCCTCAAATAAATTACAGGCAACGATTTCTGACGACTGGTTGAAATGGAAAGAAAAATGCGAGTTATGGAAAATGAGGTAGAAAGGAAAAAAGGTAGATGGAAAAACTGTAAAGAATCTTTAAGGAGGAGACACGATTATCGAGAGCAGCACACACGTTTAGTTAAATGGCAACACCGTTTGCAACCGACCACGGAACCGGGACCGTACTTCTGCAGAGCCATCTCCTTCTGCTGGTACAGCTCGTTGAGAATCTCCACTTTCTGCCTCAGGGTTCTGCACTCGTCTTCCAGCCCGGCTTTGGCAGACTGCAGTGAGTCGCGATCGTCTTCTAATTTCTTTATCTGGTCTGTAAAGGATAAAACGTCGGAGCTTTGTACGTGCACAGGACTCGAGACCTTGTTGACGGGAAGCCGCTCTTTCTTCCCGCCAATGCAATTCTGCGTCTGTCCCGTACTTGGCACCCACCTTCCAGGTTACATTTGGTGGACATGGAGGCTCTAAGCTTTAACTGTAAGAGTCTGAGATCCTCTTCCACTACCGATATTGCCGTTTGTGTCTGAAAAGCGCAGGAGAGAGAGGCATTCTTACAAGGGAGGCACAGCAAGAACTTACAGGCGTTTACGGGAGTCTAGGAAAAGCATTCTACCCGAGAAATGTCCATCATCTGCTTAATCTGATTTTTCATCTTCTCGCTCCGGTCACCTAAAAAAACAAAAAATTTTTATTGTTTTTTCCTCCCTTGCTTTTTAACTACATTTTCTTGACTTCCCCAAAACAAAATAATTACCATGCTCAAACGTTAAAAGTAAAAACAAACAAAAGGCTACTTGACTTTTAAGTCTGGCAATAAGCGAACGTACAGTAAAGACGTCTGTACGAGATAAAAACGCTGCCTGTGCTGCTCCTGAGCAAAGAGCGGTGTGAGGTAAAGCGCCTCCTGCTTTTCCAGACCTTCCACCGGGTCACGGGTCTGATGTGGACACTCGCCCTTCTGTCCTCCCCTTGAATCTGCAGCCAGGTGTGGTTTCCAACGCCCGCTCCGCAAGCAATTTCCGACTTGGGAAACGGTGTCCAGAAACAGCTCCCTCACCCAGAAACGCGGCAAGGCTTTGGCCTCTGCTCCGTGACCCTAGTCAGTCTATGGCTCCCACCACCTTACTCCTTTCAAAATCGGCGTGAAGCCTTAAAGCCACAGAACTACAGAGGTGATGAGCATCAAATTCAAATGTCACCTCCATGAAGCTGAGAAACAAGTCTCTCCTACTGAACAGTGTCCGGCACCGAGGCCTAAGGCATGACCGGTGCTGCTGTGGCTCCAGCGCACACAGCTCGTTCCCACGGGACGGGACGCAGGAGCAGCGGCAGGGCTCACCGCGTGCCCACTGCTGCCCCATGGCACCCACGGACACGGACGTCTCTACGAGCTCAGTGACGTGCACTGCACCTCGGTCAGCTGAGACGCAGCGTCGGTGTACCCACTTAAAGACAGAAAGGCCGAAAGAGCTCCAACCTCCCTGAAACTGATCTTACCTCCTACTTCCCCATTTGCTAATTCATCTGACTCGTTTCCTCCTTTATTTTGACCCTCAGATTCGGATTCACAGTCTAACCGATTCAACTGCGTGATGCAATTAGTCAAAGCCTGGGGACGAAGCGAAAGGGCATTAGAAAGCGGCTCGCGACGTGGAAAGTGGACTGCTTGAGAATTCACGAGAATCGAGTGTGGATTCAGGAGAATGAACTTACGTTAACACTATCATCTTTGTGAGTCAGAGCGACTTCCAGATCTTTCTGACACGTCTCAAACGATCGGATTTGCTCGCTGAGCTCTGCATGTGATTTGCTCCAGTCTTTGATTTCCTGCTGCAACTGAAAAGTGAAAACATGTAACTTTCCAAAGCTTAGGACTTCTGCGCTGGTGACATCAGGACCATGAGAATGAGCCGGGAAAGCAGGAGCCATGCCCCTCTTTGACCTGTCACGAAGGGCTAAGGCCGTGGCTCAGGGACAGCGGGGAGCGCTTCCAACCCTCAGGACAGCAGTGAGAACGTAAGAGCTGAGTTAATCGAGTCTATTGTAGCCTTCAGAAATTGCAGCCGGTTCAAATAACTCACTTCCAGTAGGAAGAGAAAGGTACACCTCACTGTCTCCAAAGTCCAGACTCCAGATTATATAACCTTCCCTTGGTCAGTAAAGCAGTAACTGCTCAGAGGAGGGTTCTAAACGCCCAGCTCTTTGGTCTACGAGGCAAATCCATTGCCCCCTTGAGGCTACTGCAGTATTACAGTTGATAATTGGTTGGTGTTTGACAAGACAAAGACGAAACACCGGTGGCTGTGAGAAATTGTCCAGAACTGAAAAGCCAGAACGGATGGAGAATGTGCAAGTCCTCAATTTGGGGAGCACAGTTTAAACTTTGCACATCTAAGAATAAAGTCCTGCGTCCATGTTTCATTTCCTTAAAAACAGATCTGAGAAGAGACATTCACGACGTAATGCCATTCGGTTCTCTAGTTTACATGACCTGGGACGGTGACTTTTACCTGCTCCTTCTTCTTCTTCAGCCTGGTGTTCTCTTCTTGAACCCGATGGCATTCAGACTTCACCTTCTCTTCACTGAGTTTGGCTTCATTAAGGGCGATTTGAACCTAACGCAAAACACTTTTACTAGTGAATTAATTGCGAAGAAAAACAAAACAAGT